GTCGTCTGTTAAGGGATAAATTAAGATATTAAACAGTATATACATAAATAAATACATATAAATATATATTTATTGTATATATATATATATATATACAATATATATATATATGAATATATATGAATTGTACAATATTTTTTTCTTCAGTTATTGTATTGCCATGATAATACAATATAACAGATAATAATTGCAATTATACTTACTGATAGAGATTTCAATTTCTTTTCGTTTTTGTTGACGTCGTCAACATCACTTCTTTTTCGAAAAATTTCAATTACCTAAGATAAAATAATAATGGGTACTTCCAAATAAAAAGAATATATATATATATAATGCTTACTGAATCTACTCATTATCGTTGTCTTTCTTTCTCGACTTTATCTTGCAGTCCTTCAATTTGCACTTTCAAAGTGTTCCTGATTTGTTCAGTTTTATTAGCCTGAGGAAAAAAGTGTTTATTAACGTTACGAATAAAGACAGTTATTTTGACAGTTTTTTTTTTACATCTTTTTGTTTTGTTCGTTGCGTATCTATGTCTTTCATCAGCTGTGTGTATTTTGTTTTTCGATGGAACAGAAGACGTGATATTCTATGCTAAAACAAACAATTTTTTCCTTTAATAAAATTGCGTCCGACAAGTAGTTTTTGCAGTAGAGCAGGTTGAAGTTAACGAATAAGCGTTCTTGTCTACATGACGCTCAGGGTCGGCGCGCGCTCCTTACTCGCGTGTACCTCGGCTATCATTCGCAATAACATTTGAAAATTCAAATATAGCTTTATTATAAATTATGACATCATAAGACAGTCTTAAATAATAAATAATAATAATAATAATTGCTTTCGTTACTTACGTAATAAATGATTAAAAGAATTGTCTCTAATGCCATCATATCATTTGAAAATGTAGATACATATGAATAACAATATGTTTTGCGAGCCGAGCGTTCTAATCGCAATTACGTATGATAAATATTATTAACTTTAAAGAATAGCATACTAATTAAGCGAATGCATAACTCTCAAATGCTGACAAACTGATCTATTTTGAAACAGTGATTAAAAATAAAGTAAAATAGTCGAGGTAAGGTATTAATACATTAAGCGTTAATTCTTTCTTTATCCTTTATGATAAAGAATACGATAAAAAAATCAATTAAAATTATTAATTTTTACGTTAGTTTTAATAACACATTTAACAGTACATTTTAATAATAATAATAATTAAGTTTCAATAATACATTTAGCAGTACAAATTTTTTCAATGTTTATTACATTTTAAAAGTCAATTATGCCGCCGGCATTAGCATGATCCAAGGTACACCACGAGGAGGTTGAACTTGTACCTCGTGTGTGTGTGTACGTATGCGTGTGCGTGTGCGTGTGCGTGTGCGCGTGCGTGTGTGTGCGTGCGTACACAAAATAATCTAGAGAGTTCAGATCAAGAGATCTTGCTGGCCATGCGATAGGTCCACCTCTATCAATCCAAGAATTTTGAAATTGTGTATCTAAATAATGTCTAACACGCCTACTGTTGTGAGGTGGTGCTCTATTATGTTGAAACCAAATATTTTGGCGAATATTCAACGGCAAATCTTCCAAAAGATCTGGCAAATTATCTCGTAAAAAATCAGTGTAATCGTCACCCCTCATTCTGTTTGGAACACATGGTCCAATTATTTGATCTCCTATAATTCCGGCCCAAA